CTCTGTATGCTGAGTGATTTTGCTTACACTTGGTTTACACGGAAGAAACAAGTGAAGGAAAGATCAATTTCTATAGGTAGATGTTTAAGTAGGAATCATTGGATTTCAGCTAAACTCTTCAATGTGTATTAAGCAATGTGGGCTTCCTCAAGGATCTCTGAAATAATTTTTTTAACCAGTAAAGGTAGAAATGGACTCAAACTCATCACAGAAGCACAGGAGAAACCCATATAAAGCTTACGCTTTACTCTGGGCTTCGTTTTCAGTAGAACAGCTGTAGCATGAGGCGTGCAGGACTCCAGTAGCATTAATAGATGAAATTAATTTGACATCTAAGTTTGGTATTGAAGATCTTTTATTTATTTATTTAAAAACGAAACAAAACCAGAAACGGCTACAACAAAACCTCAAACTATGCTTTGAGAACAGAGGACTTGTAACAGATCACTTAATTAACATCTGGCTCCCCACCCTGCAGCTTTGTTTTTGAATATGGGCATCTTAACTGTAACATTCATCTGATGTGTGGCAGTGAGCACCGCTTATTCTCAAGTCTATAAGCACTGAAAAATCTGAGAGCAATGTAAATTACTTTTTTTTTAATAGATCAATAATCTAAATATCGAACAGTTGAGAAATATGCATTTCTAAATGATTGAAATAAGAAAAATGGTCATTGATTCTCCAGTAATTCAGTCTTCCAGAGGAGAGAGACAGAACCTTTGTATGCAGCTCCTGGGGCTCACTGGTTGTTACATCCATTGAATATAAAACTGTTGCATTGCAGGTAAATTCTTGTTGTGCTGTCCTTGGCTATTGTCCCTTCGAGCAAGTGTTTCCTGGGCAAAAGAAGCCTTGGGAGGCTCTGAGAGTTAGCTCTGAGTTAGCTCATGCCGTAGACTAGTTAATATTCCCAGTGAAGGTGGGTGAAGTGTATGAGGATTGCTGAGTACCTGGGGAGTTGAATCACTCTGCTTTCTGTGCTGCAAGCATTGCTACCCTGGATGCACGGGTACTCAGTGAAACACGAACTGCTGCTGTGTGACGCTCTTTCCTAACCTTTGCCGGCTCTTTCTGGAGTTGTTGCTCCTTGGTACGTTTTTAGAGCTTTGCAAGAGGTGATGTGAGCCGAAAGCCTGCTAGCAATGGCTTTTTTGTGAATTTTATTAACAAATCTAAATGTAAGGAAAATAACTTTAGACAACAACAGGCGTTTTGTTTAAACAACTGAAAATCTAAGAGCAATTCCATCTTTCTGAACAGTTCTGAAATAACTTAAGATGCTACTGCCTCCATTAGCAATTCCCAGCTCTCTTTTAGCTCTATTTTATTACAAAGTTTTTAACCTGATTCCCAAAGGTTTTTGTAACCGCATCATCAACTTGTTTGCTGTGTCCCTACCCCTGCAACCAAGCTGAGTCCAAAGACCCAAGACTGAGAAGGTGCTGACCACTTCACCTTCCCTTCCGCCCCGCTCCTGCCAGCTGGAGTCTTGTGAATTTATGAGCTGCCAAGCAACAAGGGATGCCATCCTCTGCTGACACAGGTTATATTTACTGAAGAGGTGGTGAGATCTTTCGGAAGTTTGGAAAAGTCTGAGTTCTTGGTAATTGTCACTAGGTGGCTCAAAGGTGAAAGCGGTGACGTCTTAAGGAAAGTAAGCACTTCTTGAGCATTCTGGAAAAGCGCTATTTAAAAACTCTCGGGGTTGTGGTCGGAGACCTCTCAGCAGCAGTGGCAGAGCTCGGCTGTCCTTCTTGCCTTCTGAGAGCACTTAAAAAAATACTGTGTATGTATAAAGTGCTGCCTGCCAGCAAACATTTGAATTCGGAAGGTGCAGCAGCTGAACTCTGTCATGCTCAGCTTCTGCGCTGACATTGAACTAGATGAGAATTGCTTCAGAGTGTTTAATTTGTTATGGTATATATACACGTGTTCTTTCCCATTATCTCATGTGTATTTCAGTTAAGCCTGAACACAGAAGAAGTAGTAAAGCAGCAAGCTGTTGCTGCCCAGGGGTTAGACATGAGGCTTTTAAGTGTGGAAATGTCATTTCCAAGTTGAAATAGTTTTAAGTGAGTTTTCCCGATCAGGGTGGAAAATTGCAAAAAAAATTGCCAACTGATGACTTTAACATTCACGTTTGAGGAGCAAAACAAGAAGAAAATACCCGTGTGCATTGCTGGTTAGTGGAGGAGTACACTCCATGACCTCCTAGGGATGCTGAGGGCAGGAGCCAGTGGTGGGATGCTGGATGAGCTTACAGGCTCTTGCGGAGCTCAGGAAGAGTTTGATTCCCTTTAATGCCGACTCTGTTTTCCTTACCTTCAGCTGCCATGTAGGACTAATTCATTTTCTGAGCTTTCCAGAGCACCCTGCCACCTCGCCTCGGACCTGCTGGTGTGCCTGGGATGCTGCCCAGCACGGACAATTTCAGCTCATCAAACTCCACCAGGCGAGGCTGCTGCCGGGGTACCTGGGAGTTGTATTTTTCTCATTTAGCTTCATTTTTGGGCTCTCTGGTTCCTCAGCAGATGGCATTTTTATCATGTTTTCAGAAAGTCCATATGGCCTACAAGAGAGAGTATCTCTTTAATTGTAAAACATGACCACCTGTTCTGATTTTAATGAATGCAGGGAGCATTCATCTTCATATATCTACTTAAAAATAGCTGCTTCAATTGAATTTAAAAAAAAAAACCAACCCTCAATTGGGCACCAACACTTTGGCTGCTGAAATAATCAATTAATAATTAAGTGGCTAATTTTAGAACCCACTGGCCTTGCCCGTTCCCTTGGACTCACTGTGATCAGAGCAGACAGTGATTGATTGCCCTGCCGATGCCGGGAGGCACACGCAGTGCTGGGACCAGATGCCAGTAGGCTTTGAGCTGCTTGTTGTGATATTTAGAAGGTGAATGCAACTTCGTGTCCGTGCTCTGCAAATGGACTTGTCTTTCCTGCCGTAGCTCTTTCCTCTCTGCATCGCCCCAGCTGCTCACACACAGGTACTCCTTTCCCTGCCACCCTCTGAAGGATAAAATCTGGTGCTCAAAAGGTATCCTAATGATGGGCCAGCTGGAGAGGACGTTGAAACTGTGAGCAAAAATGAGCTTGAAAGGCTTAGCCACTAACTAGCTCCTAATAGAAAGCCCTGCTAGAATCATTCTGCTCATTAAAATAATAATTGCCAGTTAACTGTTTCATAGCTCCCAAAGCAGGTACACCGACCAGATGAGAAAATGTGGAGGTTTGGGTCAAGCTTTTGGAAAGGTGGAAGGTACCAGGATGCCCAAATCTTGTTAAAGGAGTGTTGAGGCTTGATTCAAAGTCTCTTTGAAAATTAACCCCTTTATTGAATCAGCCTTTTGCAACATCTTGTTTAAAGCCAATTAAAATGCCCAAATGGTAGGAACATGCTGGGATTTTGGTTGATGGTATTGGTGGTTCGGAGGGTTAATATTTCAGAGGTAGAGGAAGCAGGAGCATTTGAAAGAGTGATTGGAAGTACAGCACTTCCCAGCATTTCAGTGCAAGCACTAAGGTGTAATAGCTGCTGGCTTTCAACACAGCAGGGTAATTCGACAGTTCAGTGTAAGTGGTGGGGAGAGCTTGGTGTGTCCGCTTGGAGCATCTGTTTTGACACCATGAGGAGGGAGAGAGCTGGAAACCTCTTACCTGGGAAGTCTCTGATCTCATCCTATGCAGAGAGCAAGATGTTGAGAGCAGTTAGAGGAAGGCGACTTGCCTGCTTGCCTCATTTTGCTGAAGGAGTTTATCACAGCCCCCCTGTCCTGCCAGGACTGCCTGCGAGCCCGTTCATACTGGGGAGAAGCTGCCCTTGCTGGTCTGATGGCGGTTGCTGTAGCCTAGCCGATGTAAATCCAGTGATCTCTCAAACCACATGGGATTTTGAGACAGCTGGCTGTTGTTTGTATGGCTGAGAGCCCTGCTTTGAAATGCTGTGCAAATACAAAAATAACCGTGGCTATTGGCATTTAAATTCACTTCTATGTAATCTTTGTGATAAACTTCTATTGGTGGGGTGTTGTTTCAGTGGGAGGAGGGTCAGAGCGATTTTCAGCTGGCATCTGGGTATTGCAAGTTGCTTGGTGAGAGAGGCATCCAGCTCGGTTTCCTTGCGTGTGTGTGGCCTCCCTTCCCTGCGTTTCTGGAATAGCAGGGGATAATTAAATGAAGGTCAGCATTAAAGGCTGAAAGTTGGGAAGGGAGAAGCCTATTAACCTTGTTGAGCTGGAAAGTGCTCTGAGGGTGTTTAGGGCTTGGATCTCATGGGGTTTTCTGTTCCTGTTTTTCTGTTTTCTTGGGAATTGGCATTTAGTTGTGCAGAAAATAAAATGTATTGCTAATTCTGTTGTGGCTCAGTGACACATCTGTGAATTAAATCTTAAAAACTGGAATTTAGTCTACTCTCTTGCTGGCAGAAACACCGATTCTCTCTTGATTGGTAATGAAGTCAAAGGAGAAAAGCACAGAGCAAAGGTGTGGAGGTTACCCTTTTAGGGTAAGCATGTGAAACGTAAATGGGATCATGGAAAGTAGGGATTAAGTAGCAAACAGGCAGAGTTTTTAGCCTTGAGTTCTCCGACAGTTTTCTGAGAGTGGGCAGCTTGAGGAAGGAGAAGTGAATGCAGGGGATTAGAAATGGCAATGGAAGCAGCTGGGCAGAAGGCAGGCAGGAGAAGCAAAAGTCCTTTCGCACATGGGCCAGATGGGGTTTGCAGCAAGACACAAGTACGTGCACACGTTTTCCCTCGCTGACTATGAGAGGCTGCTTGGACCTCTGCAGGCTGAATTTTGGGGCTGTTTTAAGCAGCCTGTTCAAACACTCCTTTGCCATAGTGCAGACTGTTTATCTTAGACGAGGCTTAGAGTGAGGTGTGGAAGCTGCAGGCTGGACTTCTGTGAGCTGACTGTTAGAGGTCCTGTGAACCCTTCCCATCTGATTAAATTTTGCCCCTCTTCTTTCTCGTCTCCAGATCACTGTGTTCACTACTACGATCTCCGCAACACTAAGCAGCCAATCATGGTGTTCAAAGGGCATCGCAAAGCAGTCTCCTATGCAAAATTTGTGAGCGGGGAAGAAATCGTCTCTGCGTAAGTATTGCCTTTTACGTGGGCTGAAAACTTGGTAGCTCTTGCTTCCCGGCGCTCTTCAGGGCCGCTGTGCAAACTCACCTGTGTGGGCGGGGGGGTGTGCAGACTAGCTGCTGTGCTTTTAGGAAGCAGATTGTTGCTTTTTTCCTAAGACAAAAATAGACATTTCTGGTGTCACTTGACTCTGTGGAGCTAAAAAAATACAGAGGCAGCTAGATGCGGCTCCTGAGCACGAGCCCCAACTTTGGAAAGCTGCAGGTGGACTCTCCCTTGACAAAGTGCTGTGTGTACTGAGGATGCTTCTGACCAGAACTCTGCTGTACAGGCTGGTGGCTGAGCCCTGAGGATAGTCCTCTGTGCTGAAACACAGCTCATGAGCAACACAAGTGATCAAATGGTGCTGCTGCATCTAAAGAGGAGGTTTAGCCACAGCCTGAAAGCAACTCGAGTGGGACTGACTGATCTTGTTCCCTGGTAATTTATGAATCTGCTCTGTGAAGGCCCTTTTTAGGGTTATACTTGAGGTAGAAAGTAGGCAAGGAGAAGTTGTTTTGTGGTCCTAAGGTCTGCTATGGAGGCTCTGAAGAACAATATTCTACGGATTCTGCTCAGTTCTGCAGCCAGATGTGTCTGTCCCAAAGCCAGATGTGGCTGCTTTAGTTCTAGGTAGGTTTTCAGTCGTGTGGGAATGTGTCTGTCAGACCACATAGTTAAAGATTTGCATGACTGGCTGCAAAACCCCTTCAGTAAACCAAAGGTGAGCCCCTCTTCTGTGATGGGCAAAATGCAAGCAACCTTTGGGTGCTGCAGGGGAAGCCTTGTTACACATGTGTGCTAAGATCACCTGAAGGCAGCAGGGATGGATCACGGGGTAGATCCAGTCCCACAAAGTCAGTCTGCTGCCTTGCACTGAGCTGACGGTTATCCAGCTCCGTTCTGTCCCGTGCTTTCACACAGTTTGCTCTGGAAGCCTGGAGCCAAAGCAGAGCATTTTCAGTTTTATTCAGGCTGCTAGTGAGTTGCTCGGAGCTCAGCTGTGTGATGGAGGATTCCCTGGTGGCTTCTGGTACTGTTTATATTTAATCGGTTTCTCTCTTTATTTCCATTAACATATAATGCTATAAGGGTGCAAATTCATACCTAGAACACAGAACAAATTACATTTAGTGCTTTGAACTAAGTCTGGGTAAGAAGAAAGTATTTAATGGAAGCAGGAGGAGGCTGGGAATGTTTTACAGCTGTGATCAGGTGGAGCATCATCCATGGGGTGTTTCAGGACAGACTGGCCCTGTCCTCCTTGAGCCACCATCGGAGAAAGCCTATCCCACGGTCTCAGGAGGAATATCGATAGAGCTGTCACTCCTGGACAGGCAACAGCAGGGCGAGAGGACTAACTGGAGGGTTCGTGTGCCTTTCTGCAGGAGCAGAAGGAAACGTCAGGAAGAGCAGATTATTGTACCTGTCTGTCTCTTGCAAATTGAGAAGATGAGGCAGCAGTAGTGATTCGCAGAAATCAAGCGCTGATTTCTTCTAAGAAAAAAACTATATGTATATTCAGATTCTCTAGATTTCTAGCTAAAGCTGTTTTATAGATTGCATTGATTTACTTTTCCTTGTAGAGTTAGGATTTGACCTCAAGGGTGTTCAGAACTGCCTGGTATTTAGCACAACACATTGATTGCAGTGCTGATTTTACAGAGAGACAGATTTAACAGAGCAGTGCATCCATGCTGGTTTTTTGGAGAGGGCATGAAACCAGAAGAGCAGTGTAACACCTTGGCCTGGGGGTTTTTTGCTGCTTGTTCTCCTTTCCCTCCTAACAACTAGTGAGTTTTTTATTTGGGGTTTGTGCCAGGACTGTTGTTATAACATGCCAGTGTTTACTTTTTTCAAGGTTTTGTTTTTCAGTCTTTTGCCAGTACCTGTGGTTATAGTTTCTTTTGGTTGGATTGGGGTTTTTGTTCATCTCTGCGTAAGAGATGTAAGGGGAAGCGAAAGCCTGGGACTCTCTGGGACAGGTGACCAGGGCAGATCATACGACCAACAAAAACGTATTCTATCCCATAAATGTCACACTCGCTA